GAAGTATGGGGTGGAACTTATTATCCTCTAATTTTTGCTAAACTATTAGGATCTCTATTGGTCATGCTGGTTGGCTGTTGAGAGTTTTAATTCTGTTAACGTAGAGTAGACCAAGGTATCCAGCCACTACTTTATATCAGGTTATGATTTTTTTTTTGCTTTTGCACAAGTTAGTAAAAGCATACTAAAATATGGGTGTATAAACACAGTGTATTAAAATCATTTTTACTGAATAACACATGGCCAAGAACAGGTCTGTGTGCTTTTTAAGTAAAAAAAGAGTGATGAAAATACTTTTAATGAAAACGAATATTGCCAGCTCTAATTAGCTTGATACAGTATATACTGGTATGATTAGAAAGTCTACATATTCTGTAATGTAACTGTCCAGAAACAACTGTTGCTGTACTGAATAGAATTGATTCTTCCAACAGTGGGACTGCAGGTTACAGTCTTGACTTACCACAGTTCATTTAATGACTATTTAAAGTTACAACGGCACTGAAAAAAGTGATTTCTGACCATTTTTCACACTTATAACTGTTGCAGTATCCCCATGGTCATGTGATCAAAATTCAGATGTTTGGCAACTGAGTAATATTTATAACGGTTCCAATATCCCAGGGTCATGTGATTACCTTGTGCAGTCTTTTAATAAGCAAAGTCAGTGCGGGAGCCAGATTCACTTAACATCCCTGTTACTAACTTAACGACTGCAGCGATTCATTTAAGAGTGGCAAAAAATAAAATAGGGCAAAAAAATAGGGCAAAATTCATAAAATAGGACAAAATTGACTTAACAACAGTCTTGCTTAGCCACAGAAATTTTCAATTGTAGTTTTAAATTGAGGATTGCCTGTATTGTTTCTCATCTTGGCAGCTCTCAGAAATTAAGGCTTTCAGTTTTCATTATCCATTAGTTTAAAGTCCTATATTAAGCATGTTTTTGTGCTTTGAAACAGTTAAGTAATTTATGTCTGTCTGTCTGTCTTGCAGATGCTGTCCCACTCTTTTTGAGGTTGCTGCATTCACCCCATCAAAATGTTTGTGAACAAGCAGTATGGGCTTTAGGCAATATCATAGGTTTGTTACATTTTATATAAAAACATGCTGATTCAGTAATTTAACATTTAATAAATTACCAGGTTTGCCCTGCAATATTAATATTAGTTTTTTTTTTCTCAGAAATATTTTGCACATAATCTTTTTTCTCCATTTCTCCAAAGTATGTTTTAATGATATGCATGGATGTTCTGATAAAATTAAATGGAAGAATAGAACATGAATTGCTTGGTTCATGGTGTGTCAGATACAATCAGACCCACACATGAAGAGTTAAAGCTTGCTACTCTATTAAGTTCTGCCTGTTATACAGGAATTTTCCCAGATGTCAGCCTCAGTTGGAAACAGATCTATTTTTATGGAGCTTAAAGAGGGTTATTTCTGGATCTCTTATGGCGTAGCAAGGATATGAGACTAATTCCATACTTGAGGCCTGGACCACAAATCAATCCAGTTATCCCTTTTCCTGGTATGAAATAAAAAGGTAGTCCTTGCAACTTGCAAGAATTCATTTACTGACTGTTTGGAGTCACAACAGCACTGAACAATGTGATTTGTGACCATTTTTCACACTTATGACCATTGCAGCACCCCCATGGTCTCGTGATCAAAATTGGGATGCTTGGCAACTGACTCACGTGTCCCGAGGTCATGTGATTCACTTTTGCGAACTTCTGACAAGCAAAGTCAATGGGGAAGCCAGATTAACAACCATCTTACTTAACACCTGCAATGATTCACTTAACAACTGGCAAGAAAGATCACAAAATGGGGCAAAACTCAACTATCTTGCTTAGCAGCAGAAATTTTGGGTTCAATTGTGGTTGTAGTTGAGGACTACTTGTAATGATATTATCTCTCTCTCTCTCTCTCATACACACACACACACCCACACACATTTTTTTGTTGTATGTAAGTATTTTGGTAGCAGCAGTCCCAAGCTGGATCCTCAACTCACAAACAAGCAATTACAAATTGTTCCATTACTCCCCAGGACATGCCCAAATTATCCCTTGGGGTACTTACCCCCAGTTTAATAATTATTGATCTTGAGGATCTTGTGATAGATACAGAAATAGAAAAAGGCCATTTTAGTGTAGTAATAAAGAAGATTGAGTGATAGACTTCCCTTAGACATGAAAGCTGGCTAATGACTTTGGGCTGGTCACCAGCACAATCCATCTCATAGCATTGTGGGGGAAATAGGAGGCAGGAGTATGTTTGTTGCCATGAATATTAAGAAATATATAATAATAAGAGCAACTTCTCAGTGGAATAGATTTATAGGATTAGGCTTTTCTTCCCTGTAGGAAATACAATACATGGAAATAGTAGCCTTAGAATGCTGAAAAGACAAGCATTTCTAATAGTAATCTATTAGAATTATCCTCCCTTGCATTGAAAATGTGCACAGATATTTTGACTATATATTACAAATGTTTACATATTTATACAGGTGATGGGCCACAATGTAGAGATTATGTCATTAGTCTTGGAGTGGTGAAGCCATTGCTGTCATTCATCAGCCCATCTATTCCAATAACTTTCTTAAGAAATGTAACTTGGGTAATGGTCAACCTATGCCGTCACAAAGACCCACCTCCACCAATGGAAACCATTCAAGAGGTAATCTACTTGCTTGTTGGAAATTACTCAGTTTGGGCCTCACTGCACAATTTTGAATTTTGAACCCTTTTTTTCTGTGTGTTTTGCTTCTTCTAGATCCTCCCAGCATTGTGTGTCTTAATTCATCACACAGATGTAAATGTGAGTAGTAAAATATTTTGTAAGGTAACAGCAAAGTACACAATCCTATCAGAATTTGTACCTGCTTAAGTATATATTAATCTATTAAACTTACCTTTCAGCAAATCACTGCTATCTCAAATAAGTAAATATGTTTTGTCGTTAAATATCAAGGAATGTTGCACATAATCCCTTAACCATGGCTTCCTGGTATTATTACCCTTTCTCCAAATTTAATCATTGAAAAGTTACATAGTTCTATCATGACTTACATATTATCCACATTGTAGATCTCATTTAACTACATTATCTTGCTTTGTTTTAACTTTCTTTACTTTTACCTTATTTTACTTTACTTTTTTAACTTTAACAACTTTTACTTTACTTTTACTTTACTTTAGAGATGGATGGTACAAAAATGTGTCTGTGATACACACAGACAAACATGTACATTTGTACATATATTCATAAGCAAGATTTAATATTCTCCCAGATACATTAACAATACACAATATTGTGGGGATAGCAAGAAGTTAAGTTTAATACATATTTTATAATTTGTGGTTAGAAATGAGGTTAAAATGAATCTTGGGGAAGGAGGATTTCAAGCAAGTGAGTGTAGCAGACAGCAATGTAAAATGGGCAGAACTATGAGAGAGGGCAAGAATCATGAATTTGATAACAATTATAGCATAGTCCTTGATGGTAAAGTCCACAATAGGCCAATGGATTTCTTTATGGTCTGGAAGCATCTATATCCCTTTTGTTCTTACTATTATTGAGCTATACACTAAGATGTGGGTGTAAGAATGTAAGTCAAATTTTCTAGAAAGAGACAGACAATATTAAGTAGAAACATTGCAATCAAATCTCATTGTTTTCTTGCTTGTGAAGTTGTGATGCTTTTTTCCTTCTAATTAGATACTGGTAGATACAGTCTGGGCCCTCTCGTACCTAACGGATTCAGGCAATGAACAGATTCAGATGGTGATAGATTCTGGGATAGTTCCTCATTTGGTTCCTCTTCTCAGCCATCAGGAAGTTAAAGTTCAAGTAAGTATTCTGCAAGCTTCCTTTCTTTAAATTGAGTTTTTAGGGGAAGCACTACATTAGAAATTAATATATAAAATCTTTTGAGTTGTCATTTTCTCAAAATGAGAACTGTAACATATTCTGATATGAATAGACTTTGTTTTTAGTGTGAAATGGCATATTGAATAAATGAACTGAACAATATTTTACACTCTGTCCTTAGAATAGGAGTACCAAATTACTGTATTTTTTGTACTATAAGATACTCCAGACCCTAAGATGCACCTAGTTTTGGGGGAGGAAAACAAGAAAAAAAATCTGCCTCTGCCTCCCAGCATCCATCGGTATTCATCTGGCTAGTGTCCTTGCAGTTTCAACACATTATCACAGCTTGATTTAGCTCAAGCAGCTGATTGGAAGTTGGATCCTCCTGCTGGAATACCACCAATCAGAAGTTTCAGACTGCAGGGATCGCCGCTGCCCATCACTGCCACCATTTTTGGCCCATTCCAGGTGGCAGGGATGGTGGCGGCAATCGGCATCGCCGATTCCCGCTGCCTCGAACAGGCCGAAAATGGGATGCACGGAAGCCAAAAACAGGGCACGTAGAGGCCGGTAGGTGGGTGGGGTTTCAGCAACATTTGCTCTATAACAGGCACAGACATTTCCACGCACTCTTTTGTGGGGGGGAAGTGTGTCTTACAATGCGAAAAATACGTATCTATTTTCCTAGATAATACTTGGCTCCTTAAAAAAATTTCTTTTGGAACCTTTTCACTGATAGCATTCAGCTTACAGTAAATAACTTAAATCTGGTGAAGGGATGAAATTAATGCATAATATTTTCAATGAATCACCATTCCTTTCCTTTTGGACATTATTTGACCATCAGGTTTGAATTTTTTTTCTCCTAGACTGCAGCACTCAGAGCTGTAGGCAATATTGTTACTGGCACTGATGAACAAACCCAGGTAGTTCTGAATTGTGAAGCTCTTACACATTTTCCTGCTCTGTTGACACACCCCAAAGAAAAAATTAATAAGGTAATGTAAATATGTACAACACTATTATCTATTACATGTTATTGATAAGAAATTAATATAATTAACTGATCCATTGACTCCACATGAACACAGCTATGTTCAAACCTTACTGACTCTTGGAAATGATGAAATGGAGGTTAACATGTAGAGGGATGAATGTGAATCGAAGAGCATGATTGTTTTATTCAGTATATGTAAAAAGTAAATGTGTGTGTGAGTGAAAGAATGTGTGTGGTGCATGTCTGCATTTAGGGCCAAATAATGATGCAAACTGTGGACACTGAAAAGAATTGCTGATATTGGAGTGCATCTGAGGCACAGTTGCTAAGTCATAGGGCCTTTGCTGCAACATTGCCTGTGATTAAAGCCCAAAATATGTTCACAGTTTGTATCTATAAATTGTAAACCTCTGACATGTTCTTTTAGTCATATAAATGAATATGTAATCTGATCCAAGAATCGTTTAATTATTTTTAAAATGCTCAAGCATGTTTTTATTCATAAAGAATAAGCATTTTTTTTAAAAAATAAAAACACATAGAAATTTCAATTGATTATGCTTATAAATTATGCTGTTTTAAAAAAGCTTTGACAAAACAGTTTTATTTATATGCACATTTCATTTAATTTAAAAATGGCCTTTCTAGAGTAGCAAAAAAGAGTAAATATAATTATAGACTTGTAAATGTTAAAATTCAAAAAGTGAAATATAACTTAAATAAAAGGACTACATTGTACACATTTGATATTTGATTTTAATTATTTACTGAATTATACTTATTGTAATACTAAACATTCCCAAGTCTGGTGAGATTTGAGACTGTAGATCCATGATGGCGAACCTATAGCATGCTCTCTGTGGGCATATGCACCGTCGCCAGCTGCTCTTCTGTGGTTTATAATGTACACGTGCACGCTGGCCAACTGGTCTTTGCATGCTCCAGAGCGCCAAAAACCCGAAGACCAGCTGGTTGGCGTGCATGTGCACGCCAGGCAGCTGGTCTTCGGTTTCTGGCACACGCACATTCCAGTTTGGGCACTTGGTGCCAAAAAGGTTCGCCATCACTGCTATAGATCCATTGAAAAGAAAAATAAATGTGCCAAGGCTACCAATCTGGACTAGAGCTTTTCATTGATTTTAAAGCCTAGATGGATTCATATGGACACAGTTAACTTTTAAATATCTGGCTCAAAATGTTCAACTCTTAAAAGACCAATATAAGTATATTGGAAACATGTCAGTAAACATGTCAGTAATATATGGTTATCATAGAAGTAATGTACTATAATGTAATGTAATGTAATACTTCCATTAATCCACCAAACCTCAAGCAATTGTATTTTGCATCAGTTGAACTGTCCTAATAGTCTAATAGGCCCAGATTGATTGCATTAAATAGCATAATCTGCATGTAATCAATGCATGTATGATCAAAGTAAAATCCATATCCATTAGTGAATAAAGTTAAGGGGTGAACATTGCCATCCCAGTTTGCACAGCTAGTGCAAGAAGATCATAATTTCAGAAGAATCTCCAAGTTCAAACTTGGACTTTCAGTGAAGGGTGTAATGTTATGTACCACAGCATGCACCTCATTAGCTAGATCAATCAATTTATTCCCACAGCACCTCTAGCTTTCTGTAGATTAATATTCAGTTCATCCATATCCATTCAAAAATTCCTGGCTTCAGAACATTAGTTGGTATTTACCATTAAGTTTACAAGGACAGCTCCCAGCTCACTGTAATATAAATTGGTCACGATAACTTACCAAATCTGTATTCAATAGGCTTCTCACTACCCAAAACTGTTTACCCTTTATGATACTTTGATGCAAAATTTCTTAACTACATCACAGAGTAGTCAGGGGAATAACCCAGAATATATATTATTTAAATACATTTGTTTAAAGGTCTTTTCTTATCATGGGCTCAAATTTGTAATCCAGTTCAACATTGCACTATGTCATTATAACAAACCCTGGTGGCTTAGTTTACTCAATATTAACTGTAGTGGCTGTTTAATCATCATGCTGAAACAATCAAGCTACTTTATAATTTAACATATTATATGAAGCCAGTCTTTTATTTCATTGTCCCAAAGTCCTATGGAGATTTGTATTTTGGTCAAGAGTTTGGAAATTATCATTATAGTGGCTTGATAATACTTGTAAATCGTTCTCTAAACACAGTGCAACAGCTGGATGCTACCATACGTCAGGTAATATGTTTCATTTTTAACAACTGATCTAGTGGGTTTAAAGCCCATTTTTTAAAAAAATGTGCCCTTGATATTTGCATATAGTTTGTAGTCTATATATGTAATGTTCTAAATCAGTACTATAATCACCAAGGTTTAAAACCAATGTGAAGGGAACCCAGCCCCTTTAAATTCCAGCTAACCTTAGGCTCATTTCATTATTAAACAATTCATCAACTGAAGATTGTAAAATGCTACAACTTCATAAATGTTTTTGGAAATTTGTTTATTTTATGAATTATATGACTGCCCATTTCAGGTGCCCCTGGAGAATATACAAGGATTAAAAAGAAAAAGCCATGATTTATATTTTATTATTTCATATTTACACTTGACCTTAAAATCAGTTCAGTGGGATAATCCCACAAAGTTGTTGTTTATAGGTAAAGGTATGTATCCTATAACTTAGTTCTTATCCAATTTAAATAGAACTCATCTTGGAAGCAGATGTATGCTGAACAATTTCAACTTAAATGATACCTAGTACCTAGATTTTATTTTACCATGTTCATACTGAAAACATGTAGCCCTACAGGAGTCAAGCCATACTTTCAGAATTTGTAATAGTTCTTTAAGTATTATTAAAGTTACTTTTTTGTTGCAGGAAGCTGTATGGTTCCTATCTAACATCACTGCAGGAAATCAGCAGCAAGTCCAGGCGGTGATAGATGCTAACCTTGTACCAATGATAATACATCTTTTAGATAAGGTTAGTCAAACATTTGCTTAAATTGTTTAGGCGGGTGCACATTTGTCTGTCTGATAGATCACATAACTCAGTAAACTTAGCTTTTTCTAGCAAGGCAAGCACCAATCCTCAAGCAACCTGCTAATTATATCACTTAAATAATTATAATTCAAGACTTAGAGAATGAAGTTATGTAAAGGATAAAGTTGATTAAGGAGTTTTAGATATTTTAAATCCATGGTAAATTATGTAATGAACAATCTATTAGCACCATAAATAGCCTTTCTCTTTTCAATAAATTCCTCAATCGTTGTCTACTGCTATAGGGCTTGCACAACAATGAATCATTACAAGTACCAAATTTTATAATGCAAATCAGGTATTAATCACCAGATGCTTTCAAAGGCAGTCATATGTCAACAAAATGCTGTAGGAGAGTCTGGACTAAATGCAGTGTTTCTTTTGGAGAGAGAGTAAGGATCTTTCATTTCATATTCAGAAATTCTGCTGTAAAGCAGTAGCTAACTAAATAGCTCAAATTTTATTTTAGCCATCTTTCTACATGGTACAGTGAATGCCACAAAAGTCTTGGTTCTCCAAATTTGGACGAGGTACCATTTCATATTTTAGAACAAGTAAATTATCATATAGAAAAGATATATTTGCTCTTCAAATGGAAGGCTAAATTGTAATAGGCAATATTTTGGGATATTTGCAGTTTTGATAGCGTGATATGAACACTGTCAGAGTCTACCAACTCATAAAATGGGACTCATAATACTGTATATTAAATATAACACCAAACTCCATGTATAAAAAGTAATAAACAGGATACCTTCCAGTAAAAAATGAATGCAGCGGTGGCATTAAAGCTGCCATACTACATATTAATATCTGCAGGCAATAAGATTACTCCACTCTCTTAACAGGAATTAGGTTGGTATTCTATTCTCTTTCCTGCCATTTTTTTTTTTTTTTTTGCCTTACATATCAACTCCAAGCAGATATATACATAACTTGGCTCAATTGCTTTATGAATCAAGCATTAAAAGGATTTGAGGAGATAAACAGATTACACTGTGCCTCTCAAATCATTGTAGCTACCTTCTACTGTGGTAGTTCACTAGTTGTTAATAATAGTTTTAACTTTTATGCAGCCCACTCTAGATAGCTCACATCAATCAAATTGCAATAAAATCAGTAAACCATTAAAATTAGAAGATGGCAAGTGCAGTAAAGCAGCAGTTTCTTTTTTTACCAAAGGTCTGGGTGAAGAACCAGATCTTCACAGCACTTTTAGCTGTCTGGTAGGAATGAGCCGGATATAGTTTCTCCCCACCAAACTCATATAACCTCTAGACTCTGGAACAGAACCTTGACAGCTTTACTTGGCTACCCAGGGTTGAAAGATATAATTCAGTATCTTCAGCATACTGGTAATACTGAGCCCCAAATTGGCAGATAACCGTACCCAGCAGTTTCATGTAGATGTTGAAAAGAATGGGAGAAAGAGTGAAACTGTGGAGTCAGGGGTCAAATCAGTTCAAATGAATGTAGGTTTATTGTATACTAATGCTCTTTACAAGAATATGAACTACTAACGATCAAAGCAAATTGGCAGCGGATAAAGAGTCAACAGAATTCATGGTGGGCTGTGGACTTAGATTTCATGTGGGCATGAAGTGACTTGAAACTGATGGCATGTTTGACCCTTCCCTTGGGCTCAGCCTGATCATCTCCTACAGTTAATAGTTAAGGCACAGCTAGCCCTTGACTTAGTACCAGTCATTTAGCAATAGTTCAAAGTTATGACAAATCCCAAAAAAGGAACTTAACGCCCTAAATTTGAAGTTCCAATCTCCATGCTTCGTCACATGACCACATTTTTGACACTTTGCAATGTACAATGTTTTTCCAGAACCTGGCATCTACTTTCAGTTTCTGGGTAAAAATACCCATAAAGAACAATGGATTTGCTTAATAAGTGCAATGTACGCTTTACCAGTGCAAAAAATGTTATAAAATTGGCAATGGTCAGATGATGCCCCTCTTTATTACCACCACAACTTACAACCAAAATTGTACGCTCAGTTACAGTTCATAATTCAAGTATTATCTATACCCGTTTTGGTCGCAATGCTGGGAGAAAATCAAATTTGGGAGACAGGAGAATGGGCTTTAACAAATCAAATGAATGTTAAACTCATTTTTAAGTTTCCCCCTTAAAAATCTTCCATTTACCTTATTAAGTAAAGCTTGGGCTGAAAATAATGTATCAATTTTTTCATGTTTTTAGGGTGACTTTGGTACACAAAAGGAAGCTGCTTGGGCTATAAGTAACCTGACAATCAGTGGAAGAAAAGATCAAGTAAGTAATACCTCATACATATTTGAGATAAGGGAATATGATGGAATTAAAATGGAAATGCAAATGGGATGCACGGTACAATTAGAAGATATTTAGGAGGTCCAGTTTGTGTTTTCTTCAGGTATCTCAGATTGGAGTAT